TTTTTCTCTACACAAGATAAGAACTGTATCAGTCTTGATTTTTTTTTTTTTGAACTGCCTTCCACTGAGATGGGTTTCAAGAGATTGTTCAAAATCATAGAATAACCCTTCCCATTTAGGTTCTTTACTAAAAAGTCAAATGACCTCTCTGTGAAATACACTTGCACATTCTCAGAAGAACTTGATGAACTCCAGTTAAGGTAATGTAGATTTTCACAAACTTTTCTGACTGATATCAACCATAATTACTGATTTTCACTGTGTATCCTATTGTGATGGGAGCAACCACAGCAGCCGGCTTTGCACTGTCATGAAGTTCTGGTTTCTTTTGTGACTTTTGTTGCATCTTATTCTTTATTTCTGTTTCAATTTGGATTTTTCAGCTGTCAGGGCATCATGTACTCTCTTCCTAGTAACCTTTTCCAGCAATACTTTTACCTCTGCTAGGTCATTCTGCAACTCCTCCAAAGCCGAAGCCAAGGTTGGGCAGTGCTGGATCGCAGGCCCGGACACAGGCATGTACACGAAGACGAACCGCCAGACCCAAAGTACCCTCCACATTCATGGACCTCAGCAGGGAGAGCCGCTATGCGCGCGCCCGACCTGTGCGCCCTCCGCACGCGGCGACCCATGTTGCCACTTCTCACTTTTCTGCCTTCTACTTTTGACCGTCCTTGTGATGATACTGTGATGATACATATTCTTATTTTAAGGCCAGCGGTTAGCAAGCTAGATTGTATGTGCAGCCCCGGTTGTCCTTTGCCATGTAAATTAACATAATCACAAATTCTGTGGATTAGAATGTGGTCATCGCTGGGGAGACACTGGCTAAGTCTGGAAATCCTAAGTCTCTCAAATTTCTGTAAGTATCCTGTGCCTGAGTTTTATGAATATAATAATATAACAACATGTATGTATTTTTTTTCATACCAAGCTAGTATGTTGGGTCCTTTTCAATGCTGTTTTCCTAATTTTCCCAATACCGAATAAATGCTGTATAATCCAATGTGGTTCTGACACTACTTGCAATAGAATCAGACTTGAGAGGTTTAAAGAATCATTCCTACAAGAATGTCCCCATTTCAGATGCCAGTCTCAAATATTGGATCCCTAAGTTATCCACACTTTGGTTCAGCTCGACTACAAAGTAGAGAGTTCTTTTGTTCAATCTCTCTACCCAATATACATGTATGTGTATCGGTATATATATGATGTAATTATGCAAGGAATTAGATAGGCCTACAGGATCAGAGGCAGGAAATCCACAGTGGCTGACTGTGTGTACAAGAGGGCCTGAGGGTTTAGTACCTGTTCAGTTCAATAAATTGGAACTTGAAAAATAAGAGAAATCGAGACTGAAGCCCTAGAAACTCCTTGGAAAGTTTCTGGTATGAGTCTGCCTTGAAAGTGATGGCAGGAGTGAAGGATGCACCTGTTCATGTGGAATTGAGTTCTTCAAACTTCCTACTTTCACTTTCATTCCATTTGGGCTACAAGTTTTGTTTATTTTATTGAATTTTAGTTTTCTCATTTGTAAAGTATATTACTACTTTTACTTTACAAGAGGGAAAAATAAGATCCAATAAAATGAATTAAACTTTCTCAGTTACATAGCTAATTCTGTGGGGGTTTTTTGCTAAAAATAAAAAAATCTATTGGCCAGATTAAATAGATTGATTTATTTATATCAAACTTTAAAAATTTATCCTGTGGAAAGTTACGCAGAAGTCATCAAACCAAAAGCACTTGTATAATTCATCTTAGAATTTTGTGTGCTGGTTGTTAGCCAAGTCCTCACCTTATCCCCCACTTCTGTTATTCATTATGTTACTTTCAAACATTAACTATGACTGGTTTTGCAAACAGGTATCATACAGTTTGTCATACCCATATAAATCATGTATGTAGTTACTTAAAATGATTTTATTTTCAACACTTAGCTCTTACTTGCACTTGATCATGGGAAAAAAACCCCATTTTATTCAGTAAATTTACCAAACAAATATTCTACTGATTGCTCAAGACATGCTATGTAATGTTCCAGGTATTGGGTGAGCAACAGTGATTGTGACAAAGTCCCCAGCCCCAGTTCTTACATTCTAATAGCAATGATAGACAGTGAATAATTGTGTAATATGTAAAATGATAGCAGGGGATTATAAATATTATGAAGGACATCAGTGGCAGAGCATACACAGTGACAGGGAACTTTGTATAATATGATCAGGAAAGGCTCACAAGAGACAGCGATGTTTGAGAAGGTTTCTGAGCTTCCAAACAAGAGTGTACCATGTTAATGAGTGTTCTAAGTCAGCAGAAACAGTGTAGAGGTCCTGTGGTAGCAGCTCAGCTGGTTTTGGGGAGTAACAAAGAGGCCCATGGGATAGTAATTAAGTGAGTGAAGAGGATATGGGATCAGTGATGCATGGCAGGGGACCAGATCCCAAAGCCCACAGTCAGGGCTCTGGATTTTACTGTGAGTGAGGTTCGAAGTATTGGGAAGTCCTGAGCAGATGATCAGGGTAATCTGACGTATTCTAAATGTCTCTTTTGAATGGTTCAAAAAGAAAAAAGGAACTAGAATGGGGGAAAGGGGAAAAGATGGAAGGGAAATGGGGAAAAACGCAAGTCAGTTACACTACTAGTGTCTCTTAGTTCATTGAAAAGGGAGGTTTGTGCTGATATCAATTGGAGAATTTCTTTTGGCCATACTTGTACCCTGAGCAACTACTATAAGATAACAACATACAACATATTAACTACTATTATCTTCTGTTATTTTGCTATGAAATTGTTTTACCTTTTTTTCCATAAAATAAAAAAAAAGTTAAAAAGTTTCTCTCTTTGGCTGATATGATTAAGGACCGTGGGGTGCTAAGGGCAGCAGGGAGATTAAGGAGGAGGCTATTGCAGTAGGCCAAGTGGAAAGAAGCCAAACAAAGCTGATGACATGGACTAGGGCAGTTGTGAAGGTGGGTGATCAGCGTAGGATGCTGGATAGGCTGTAAAAGTGGAGCTGATAGGTCTTCTGGGGTGTCATCTGTAGCAAAGACAGGAAAAAGGACGATTTCTAAGGTTTTTGCCTCACCAAGTTGTAGGAAAAGGGGTGCCAATGATTAAGATGAGAACACTGGTGTAAGGTAGGTCTGAGGGTGAGGGAGGAGCTCGGCTATGGATATATTGGGTGCTTCTGTCCATATACGGAGTGTGTGTACCATTGTGATCAATCCAAATATCATAACTCCGAAAGGGGAAATGCTGCCACTTTCTAGGTGAGGAAATTTAGATACAGGGAACTTAAAGAGTCTTATCCAAGTTGACAAAGCTGTTTTAAATTAGATTTCAGGTTGAAACCATGACTTCCTAGGGGATTCTATATGTGTTCTTAAATTTCATGTTTTTGTTTAGCTTTGTACAGTTGTAGCACCGTCTAATGGTTTAAATCTAAAATAGTGCTAAGGTCTCATGTATTTGGAAGGTGATTAGGTTATGGGGTGCTATAGCTGGCTTGTTAGGAGTTAGGGCCTGTGAGAAGAGTTGGGTCACTGGGAGCATGACCTGGAAGGGTGTATCTATCTCTCTGCTCTTCCCTTCACTGTTTCCTGATCACCATGACTTGAGCAGCTTCCCTCCACCATGCTTTCCTGCCTTGGAGCCAGCCAACCATAAAATGAACTTAAGCCTAAATAAACCTCTGCTCCATTAAATTGTGAATGTGGTATTTTGCTCCAGTGGTGAGAACATGACTAAGATACACCATAGTAAAGTAAAACAAGAACTGGATGTGTTGGTGCATTTCTATAATCCTAGGGCTCAGGAAGCTGAGGCAGAAGGAGTGATACAAGTTCAGGGCCAGCCTGGGCTATGTAGTTCAAGGCCAGCCAAAACTACATAGTGAGAACGAAACCCTGTCTCTATTAAAAAGGAAAAAAAAAAAAAAGCGAGGTTAAAACAGTCAAATGGTGAGAAGTCTCTAATGGTCTCGTATTGTTGGTGATTAGAATCACCTTCTCTACCCCTCCCACAATTCCCAAGATTTTCGTCTCATTTTGTGATCCATTTTCTTTTTTTATTATAATTAAGTTTATTGGTACAGTTTAGATATACACATGATCACATTCATCATAGGAAATTTATACTTGTATATAATATATCTTAGTTCCTCTTTCTTTTCCCATTTCCCCTCCCCTTTCAACCCTTCTTCATCTCCTTATTTAAAGTTTTGTTTCCATTTTATCCTTTTTTCCTTCGTTTTTTTCTTTTCTCTCCACCTCCCATTCCCCTTTCCCTTTAAACAATTCATATTTCACAATATCTATTATACATTTTGGTTTTCATTTATATTTTATGTCTCTCATACCAGAGAGAGAATGCAATATTTATACCTGTGTGTCTGATTTATTTCATTTACGAGTATGGTTTCAAAGCCTGTCTGTTTAGCTATAAATGTCTCTTTATCCTTCTTTATGGATGAGTAATACTCCACTGTAAAAATAACTTTTATATCCATTTGTGGGTTTATGGGGATTTGGATTATTTCCAAGATTTACCTATTACAAACTGCCACTATAAACTATGGTTGTGTATATGCCACTGCTATGCTTTAATTTGCATCCCTTGTGTGATCAGTGATGTTGAATATTATTTCATGCATTTATTGTCATTTGTACTTCCTCTCAGAAAACCCCATTCATTTCATATGCCCATTTTTTAATTAGGTGTAACCCATTTTCATTCCTTCATCCCTTAACCCTAATTCTAGACACTTTTCAGGCAACAAATAAGCTTAGCAGGGAATATGTATCTCTCCTTTTACAATCTGCATGTATACTCTAATGCAAATCTGTGTCATTGCATTTATATTACTGCCATGGAAAATAAAAGGTTAATTTTTATGCATATTTTACTCATCTGGACATTTTGCAATTTCAGGTAAAAAGACTGTCTTATGAAGAAAATAAAACAATGTATCTTCATCAAGTAAGAGTAATAATAGTTATTATACTGTGTACCATTACCTTAAAATAGTTACTCAGAGTAAAAAACATAAACCTGAATGATTTTGACCAAAAAAAAAAAAACCCACATAACACTAATCTTTTTAAAAAATTCTTTTTCTTTTCTTTTCTTTCTTTTTTTGGAGCCAAGGCCTCACAGTGTAGTTCAGGCTGGTCTTAAACTCAGTCTGTAATCCCATCTGGCCTTGAACTCATGGTGATTCTTCTGCTTCAGCCTTTTGAGTGCTACTAGGATTACAAGTTTATGCCACCATGTCCAGCAGAAGGCCATCTTTTTGATAACTTTGGCTTCTCAGATTTAACCTGACATAATAAAGATTAAAAGAGCCAAATGAAGGCTAGAGGTTTAGCTCAGTGGCACAAGCACCTGGCTGGCAAGTGTAAGGTCATGAGTTTGATGCCTGGTACCACCACCACCACCAACAACAACAACAACGACAAAAAAAAAAAACAACAAAAAACCCCAAATGTGTCCAAGCATGATGGTGAATGTTTGTAATCCCGGCTCTTGGGAGGCTGAGGGAGGAGGATCGCTGAGCGTTTAAGGCCAGCCTGGGTTACATAGCAAGAGCCTGTCCCAAAATAACAAAGCAAACAGATGTGGACACAGCCTATGAGGTTGGCTATTCCGAAGGCTGAAGCAGGAGATCACAAGTTTGAGCCCAGCCTGGGCAACTTAGTGATTTAGTGAGACCCTGTCTTGCAATAAAAAAATGAAAAAAGGGCTAAGGATATAGCTGAACATGAAGACCATAGATTCAATCTCTAGTACTACAGACAAAAACAAAATCCCAAGTATGAAAAAAACAACAAAAACCAAAAAACCCAACCAGTTGCCAAAGCAATTAAGTGATAATTCTTGACTATAGGAAAAAATGAATCACTGGATCTAACGTGTGAAATTTTTTCTTTTCGTGTATGTTTGATATCAGGTGGTTAGCAGCTTGGCAGAGAAAGCCACTAGGCAGCATTACCCAAAGGGAAAATGAAAGTTTACAACTAAAGGTCAGTCTGAAAGATAAGACAGACCATCCTGAACCAGCAGTATGAAGCATTGTGAAACTGTATTTGATATTCATAAGGTCAGTTTTTACTAAACTTTCTGCAAATGTTTCTTAGTAAAGCATACTCATTTTTTCAGTAAATTATGCTATATAGTTAAATTTTTTTTTAAGCTTTTTGTGAGTACATGTTTGTAGCACCTAATGATTACATTCATCATGGGGAATTGGCACATGTACATAACATATCTTCATTTTTTTATCCTCTTCCATCCCCCCAGATAATGTGTCGATGCTGGAAGATCCTGAACTGAAGAAAACAATCTCTGTCTTCAATCTTCATGGGGAGTAATCTGTAATGAGAGCTATGCATGGTAACAAGACTTAGAGTCAAGTTCAGTCCAGACAAAAGATAAGCTAGAGTCCCTTGACTCTAGCTGGGATCTCATTAAATGAATAATGAGAGAGGAGGAGGGAGTTCTAAGGATTGTTTGAATGTTTGGGGGCAAGAGAAGAAGTCTAAGAGCCTTGGTCAGTTGGAAGTAGCCCATAACTTAATGTTTACCTGGTGCTCATTAACTATTTATTGGATTAAAGTTAATTTCATTCTCGATGCCCAGAAGTCTTGTTTTATACAGACTTTTGTCTTCTTAAAGATTTAAATGGAATTGTCTGCTGAGGGCTAATGGAAGATTGAATCATATTAACATTGGAGTAATCATGCTATTATCTTGAGGGAGCCACTGATCGACATTAAATACAGGGTAGGGATAAATGAATACTTGTTTTGAGTGAAGAAGAACAGATTTCAGGTTCTGACTGTCAGAAGAAAACATGATTTTCAGGATGGGTCAGTTTATCGATCCACCCTTCTGAAAGAGTAGCAGGGGCCGTGGTGGGGAGTCATGACCTGGAAGACTTTGATATTGTCAGTGACCTTGGCTTGCTTTCAACAGTAACCCTGAATGCGTAGGTGACACTGGACTCTTCCTGTGTTCACTGGGCAATGGGAGGAGTTTCAGACAAAAAGAAATTCTCAGAAGAGTGCATGGTCACAAAATGAGAAGCCTTTCAATAGAGAAATACTGTAAAAGGTAACCTAGGGAGAAAATAAATTTAAGCTGTAGTTAATGTTAGATATTACAAAAATAACACGAAATATTTGAAGAAAAAATATAAAAATTCTCCCACAATTAGTTATACATAAGTGATGTTATAATCTATGGAATCTTACAGTTTTATTTATTTATTTAGATACAAGAGTTCTAACTATATAGTTCAGGATGGCTTTAAACTCACTATGTAGCCCAGGCTGGCATGGAACTCAGTCTCCTGCCTCAGTTTCCTGAGTGCTAGGAATGCAGGCATGTACCACCAGGCCTGAGTTTGTTTGTTTTGAGACAGGCTGGTCTTGAACTCATTTATGTAGCCCAGGCTGGCCTCAAACTCAAAGTGATCGTTTTGCCTCAGCCTCCCAAATGTTGGGATTACGAGCCTGCACCACCATACCTTGCTGAAATCATAAAACTTTAGATCTGTGAGGAATTTAGAGGTCCATAGTCACCCTTGACAAAGTTGCCAGCCACATAGCAAATAAAGGACAGACCTTTGATTCATCACAGCTTATTTCCTGCAAATACTTGTTTATGTTGCTGCAATTGGAACACAAAATAATACTTACCCTTGATATTTATGATTCACTCTAATAGTTTTTACTCAATCCTACTTAGTCTATTCTGTTTCATTAGAACAAAGACAGTGACGTATTAAATTGCTTTTACAGCTTTTTAATGAATCTTTCATTCTAATAATTTAAGCATCTATGCTTTAGAGAAAATCTGCACAGAATACAAATAATTGCATTCTGAAGCCTTTCTAGCTGTGTGAGAACCACACAACTAGGTCTGCAGCCTATAATAGTGATTGACTCAACCCGGCAATCTCACATTGTTATTGCAAGCCAGACATGTACAGTTAAGTTCACATAGATTTATTTTTTAATTTTAATTTTTTTATTGGTATATGTTTGCTGTGCATAACATTCACATTTACCCTAGAAAATTTGTATATGTACATAATTTAATTCTTTGTTTTCTATTTCCCTCCTTCAACCTTCTTTCCCTCCCCAAGTATAAAACCTTTGTTTTCCTTTTTTTCTTCAAATATTTTTTAAAATTTAAATCCCTTTTCCCTTCCTTTGCTACCCCCTCCTCTCTTCCTTGATTCTCTTCCTTGAACATGTTCTTCCTACTTCCCACTATCTATCCCATTGGACATATTTTAAACAACTAAGATTTTACTTAAAAATAATTTACTGCAGCTGAGTGTGGTGGCACATGTCTGTAATCTTAGCACTCCAGAGCCTGAGGAGGATTGCAGTGAATTTGAGGCCAGCCTGTGTTACATAGCAAGACCCTATCTCAACAAACCAAACCAAACCAAACGAAAACAAAACAAACAAAACAAAACAAAACAAAAACTTCTGAGTACTTATGATATGTCTGACCCTGGCATTGGTATGCTGAGATAAATGGAGAACTCCCACCCTCCAGACCGTATAGTCCAGCTGGGGATAGTGTCAGGTAGTAGCAATAGGGTGAGAGCTATAAGAAATGTGCACAAACTTCTATGGAAAAATGAAACGGTCACTTAGCTCCAGTTGAGTGGTAAGGGATATTGGGGAGGGGAGTTTCTGGATTAAATAGTGCGAGAGAGGTGAGATGATTTGGAGTTAATCTGGAGTGGGAATAGATAGAGTCAAGATCAACTAAAAGATATTGAGTATCTACTACGTGTCAGGTGTCTTACACAAATTATTCTAAAACTAATAAAACTAATAGTGAAATTCATAGATGTGGAACCTGAGGCTTGGGAGACAAAATGAATTCTCCATAAAGCAAAGAAGCTTGTTTTTACTTCTTTTTCTTTAGTTATTGCAGTATAGAGTGTCTTCAGTTTTGAAGTAATCTAAGGCAGACTAATCAAACTTCTTGCCTGATTTCTGTTAGTGTCATGAAAAACAAAATTCTGGCTTTATTATTTGTACAGATGTTTGCTCTCACTTCAGGATTTTCAACACATCCTGCTCCATGCACCCCAAGATTGGGAGAAAGGATCTATGATTTCTTTCCCATAGCCCCTTCCCCTAGTGGGAGGCTGTATTGTCCAGTAGTTAAGAAATTCCCTTGCTGCCACTCTCTAACTTTGTATTTCTAAGATTTGTATTTCTCATTTGGAAAATGTGGTTGATAATACTCCCTAACTTACCAAACTATTGTGAGAATCAAAGTGAAAAAATGAATGTAAAGCGCTTAGCATAGTGCAGGCATGAAGAAATCAGTTCTGAAATAAAAGCATTGCACTGAGAGGCAAGTTCACTTCCTTAAACGGAAGTTTTGTTTGTGATTCTGAACTTTGGTTGACCTCGTATTTTTTTGACACTGTGGTTTAGGCTGTGGGTGAAGCAGGAACTGAACCAAAGGTTCAGGGCCAGGATTGTATCAGAGAAACTTGTATAGATTCTCAGTCTCTACACTACTCGTCAGGACTTCAGGCTCCTTTAATAATACAGGCTCATTTCCATGTGGGATTTGGATGAGTGCTGTAGTCAGAAGGTGGGGCAGAAGGAAGTTTCTTAGGCGCTTCTCTCCTTGGCTGGACAGAATACCTGACACCTGAAACCTAAAGGAGCAGAGGCTTATGTTGGTTTCATAGTTGACTGTTCTAAGCCAAGACAGCATGACATGGGACAAGGCAAGCTGTTCACCTTATGTCAGACAGGTTGCAGAAAGACAAAAGGATAGGAGGAGCTGGGAGGGAGAGAAACCTCTCCAGACCACACCCCAGGGATCTGCCTCTGCCAACCAGACTCCATGTCCTAAGAGCAAGTCAGCTATAAGCCCCCATAATCCCGTTGAGACCAAGAGATGAAGGGACAAAATGTAAGGGCCTGAGCAGACTAAAGACGAGATGAGATAAGCCTCGAGGAAAAGTGAAAGGCAGAAGTCAAAAAGCTCATGGATACTGTGATTTGAGCAACTATTTCCAAGATGATAATATGTAATCTATTAACAGGTGATTTCTTACTGTTATGTTTTTTTTTGTAGTTCTGTATTATGTGTAACCTTACACTGCTTTGTTTTGTTTTGTGTTTTTCTCTTTTTCCTCTAAAAAAAAAAAAAAAAAAAAGCTCATGGAGACCACTGACGACAAGAAGTCTGGCAAGCAGTGGCATTTTCGTACATCCTCTGTCCCTTTTCATGCTTCTAGATTCACGTGTTTCTTTGGTGTCATTCTGGCTCCCCTTGTCTAGCAAAGGCTTTACTTTGTCCTTCTAATAAATCACACCTGGCACCAGCACTGTTGCCCACTGCTTGGTGTTCTGTCCAGTCAGTCTTTGTCACCCTCAGGACAAGAACTCCCAGGGAGAGAGCCAGTTACACAGTCACCTTCTAAAAGCACCACCTATGCACACATGAGGTTCTCAGGAGGCATATAGATATACACCATAATGGAGGGATGAGACAGTAAAGTAAGGAATGAGATGATGAAAGAATTGTCAGAGCTGGAGATGTAGCTCAGCAGCACAGTGCCTGACTGACAAGCATGAGATCCTGAGTTCTGGTTTAATCCCCCCACAAATAGACTGTTGGACAAGGAGGGAGGAAAGCGGTGAACTGGCGGATAGGGATATAGATATTGTGAAGCTATGAAGAGACAGGAAGAAGATAAAGACAGCAGGGAGAAGGAAGAGGAAAGGAAGAAAGAAGAAGAGGGGCAACGTGGTTGAAAGAAATAAACAAGGAATGAAAACTCAACGTATGTCTAAAAACAGCCTCTGGCTGTGGAGCTAGGTGACTCTTACATGCTTCAAAGTATAAAGTACTTTGCTTTATAAAGTATGTATCATAGGAAAAAGGATAGGCTACACAATGCAGGTTCTTTCCCTCTGTCTGAAAGCAGAGTTAGAGAAAATGAAAAAAGCGACCATTAAGATGTGTTTCTCTCCATCTTTCAGCTACTCTGCAACTTTATTTCATTGGTAGTTAATATCTTACTCCCACATTCCAGTGTGTCTAAGCTATATGTTTAGATTTCAAGGCTGTTTGAGTCACTGACCATGATTGGTGAGCTCATGAGATTAGAACTTTGTCACAAAAATCATATTATCAAAGAATTGAGATGTGTTGTGTGTATATACCAACTCCCCCTAGAGAATGTCATCATTTTGTACTGCAAATATTTACTAGTAGAAAATTGGATGACTCCGTTTCATGTAGTAATCTCTTCAATAATACATTTGGCAGATGGTCATCTTGGTCCAATACAATATCCCTATTAGCACAGTTGACCAAAAATTAGACCGTCTTTTACTTTACAGTTCTAACTGACACAGATTGAAGAAATCTGTGTTGTGTTGAAATTTTTTAACTTTCACACACTGGACCTAATGCCACTAGCTGACGCAACTGACAAGTTAGTAAGTTCCGGTTTCTTTATGACAAAACTTCAATTCATACCTAGACATTTGCTGTCCTTCAAAAATTTTCCTCATTTTGAGTATTTGAGACTTTTCCTTTGTTAGGGCCAACGCCGCAGGGAAAGAGACCCCAA